CCTAATACCCAAGTGTGACTGACTCTTTCCTAATACCCAAGTGTGACTGACTCATCCCTAATATCCCAAGTGTGACAGACTCTTTCCTAATACCCAAGTGTGACTGACTCTTTCCTAATACCCAAGTGTAACTGACTCATCTTTAATATCCCAAGTGTGACTGACTCGTCCCTAATATCCCAAGTGTGACTGACTCATCCCTAATATCCCAAGTGTGACTGACTCGTCCCTAATATCCCAAGTGTGACTGACTCGTCCCTAATATCCCAAGTGTGACTGACTCGTCCCTAATATCCCAAGTGTGACTGACTCGTCCCTAATATCCCAAGTGTTACTGACTCGTCCCTAATATCCCAAGTGTTACTGACTCGTCCCTCATATCCCAAGCGTTACTGACTCGTCCCTAATATCCCAAGCGTGACTGACTCGTCCCTAATATCCCAAGTGTTACTGACTCGTCCCTAATATCCCAAGTGTGACTGACTCGTCCCTAATATCCCAAGTGTTACTGACTCGTCCCTCATATCCCAAGTGTGACTGACTCGTCCCTAATATTCCAAGTGTTACTGACTCGTCCCTAATATCCCAAGTGTGACTGACTCGTCCCTAATATCCCAAGTGTGACTGACTCGTCCCTAATATCCCAAGTGTTACTGACTCATCCCTAATATCCCAAGTGTTACTGACTCGTCCCTAATATCCCAAGTGTTACTGACTAGTCCCTAATATCCCAAGTGTGACTGACTCGTCCCTAATATCCCAAATGTGACTGACTCGTCCCTAATATCCCAAGTGTTACTGACTCGTCCCTAATATCCCAAGTGTGACTGACTCTGCCCCAATATCTTAAGTGTTACTGACTCTGCCCCAATATCCCAAGTGTGAGTGACTCTTCCCCAATATCCCAAGTGTGAGTGACTCTTCCCTAAAACTTTCTGGGTCAGTAGGTTTAAAAAGCTGTGTCTGACAGCATTAAAAAATATGGGGCTACCAGACAGGAGTTAAAAGTAACAGGGATTGAGCAAGTTATTGTCACAGTTAACAGTTGTTACAGAATGAAGAAAAACATACCACAGTCATCAATATATATATATATATAAATGGTAAGCTTCTCAGTACAGAAAATGAGAAACATAACTTTACATTTCAGAAGCTGAAAGAAAACAGAAAAAGACATCCGCAGAGCCTGACTGCACGGTTGATAACAAGGGCAAACGGTAACCCAAAACTGACAGAAGATCAAAAGGTCAACAAGAAGAATTACAATTTAAAGTTCAACAAATAATCATACAAGTAATGAGAGATAATAATGGCAACAGCAAATCTTGGAATGCTTGATGAGACCATGAGCTGGCATGTTAATTTCCATGTACCAGTGATCTGAGAGTGGAGATGGTGTAGTGGCTAACATGCCTGCATGCCGACAGTGTGGTCCTGGTTTGAATCTGCATCCAGGACTGTTTTTAAACCCCCAAGTTGAACCAGCCTAAAACAGGTACCAGGCCATATCGTTTTAATGCACGGGTCAGCTCAGCACTTGCCCGGGGCCCACAAGAGCATAAATGTACGTCAATATTATCAACAATTTACAATTCCTTCCTCGGAGTGGTTGTCATAGGGACCCCATCACATTGGTTGGCCCAGGGGCCCACAATGCTGTTAAGACAGCTCTGCTACCAGAAAATGACTTTGGAAGTGAAGGTAAACACTATGCAGTTGATCACATTACTCATCCAGTGTCCATTATATTTATATAAACTGCAAGACTTGCCTAGTCTGCCTCAAGGCATGACAAGTGTTCTTCATTACCTTTAATTTAAAAAAAAATTGTTTCTATATGAGTGATCAGGAAATAATTAAATAATGCCATAATGGTGCCATGAAAGGGTCATTCATAGCTCTTGCAGGAAACTCAGCAATCTTCTGTTGTCATCATCATCTTCCATTTCTGCTGTTAAGCGTCACAGTAAAGAATGGTTTTCAGTCCAGCATTTGATGGGCAGCACTGCTGTCTCTCCGTAGGTGGAAAAACAATGTCTTTAATGTCATCAACCAACCCTCTCCATGGGCACACTCTTGCTTTCATTATCTCTGTGCTCATTACATAGAACAGGCTAGCATACACTTTTACAGACAACAAACATCCCACTGAATTTATGGCTGTAATTAAAGCCTTGTCTTTATTATGTACAATATAACACTGTCACCACACAACATACCCAACATTTGTCAAGAAACATACTGAAAAATAAAGATAATGCCAAAGATTATCTGACTATAAGTGGTTATAACAATTAAGATATAATTATTGGAAACAAAGTAATTAAATGTCAACAGATTGGTGGAAGGATTTGTTGGGTATGTTATCAAATTGTTTTATTATCCCCATACAACATCCTAAAGAACTGTTATAATTTTAAAACTTGTTTTTTTTTTAAATATTTTTCCTCTGCAGGACTACTCTTTGGATGTGAATCTAAAGGCAGCAAATTCAGGAAACCCTGATCAATTGTATGGAGCTTTTATACTGCGGCATCCTGCAGTAACCAAAAAAAAAATGGGCCCAATGTGGGTTAATTGTGTGTGCCTGCTGCCGGACTGAATTGATTTATGTGAAAAATAAGTGCCATGAAGGACCAGTCTGACTGAAATCTATTGTAGTAGCTGCATGTCAGGGCTGGATCTGGTCTCAACATGCAGACATAACCAGTTAACAAGAGCTGAACTATGATAGTATGGGCTAATAAAAACATGAATATTGTACTCACTCCAACAGAACTAGGGAAAAAAAACAACTGTATGTCACATTAGCTCTAACATTAACATATTTGCTCCATCAGCCTTGAAACGATCAGTCAACAAACCTTTGCACTCTCCTAGCCTGGACACAATCTCCTAGCACTAACCCATATTCTCACCAACCCTAACATGTCCTGACAAAATCTGCCCAGCTGTGACAATGAATGACTCATGTCCCAACACTACTAATGATATCAGTGCCACAGTCAGTCTACACAACAGGATGCCTATCCAACAAAATTGTTAATGATCAATTTAAGCTTTTACCCCCTTAATATTTTTAGGTTAATGATTAACTTAATAGTTTCCTCTAATATACTACTGACTGACTTAGTCGCTGCTCTTCTACCTTGGGGTGAAGAGGTTTGCCAGAGAGATCGCCAGACATCTCTATCAGCAGTTTCCCCCCTAATTATTTGCATCTTAATTATCAACTTAACCATTTCCCCTAATATGGCATGCATGTTCATGATCAACCCAGTTGTTTCCCATACTACTTGCATGTTAATGAAAAAGTGAAACATTTCCCCTAATATCTGTATTCGAATTATCAACTTTACTGTTTCCTCTAATATCTGCATGCTTCAAATTCATCTTAGAAACACAACAGAAGAAGCAAAAGAACAGTACACTTTTCTGACAATTCTCAGAGTGAACAAAGAAAAGGAAGAATACTATTCAGCTGTCATGTTACCATAAATACTCCACACAATATTCACAGCCACCTAACTGCTAGCAGGCAGGATAAGACAGTAACCCCTGGCTTGTGTGCCTACAGGTAGAGGCATATATATATGCAGCATTTATTGTCTTTCTCATTCGGTCTCAATCCATTTCTGCCTAGGAAGTGAAGACTAAGACCGTGTTAATGTTAATCGTTTTCTACATATAAAGTAGAGGAGAGTAAGACATTGTCCATATTTTTCTATTTAGGTAATGCAGCAGTGCCCCTCTTTTCCTACTCAGGAAGTATAGGAGTTTACAACCATGTCTAATTTCTCAGAGCTTAACTTTTCCTATCTAGAAAGTGGGAGAAAAGTAAGACACTGTCCATCCTTTTCTATCTAAGAAGTAGGCAGGGAGTAAGACATTGTCCATCCTTTTCTACCTAAGAAGTAAGCGGAAAGTAAGACACTGTCCATTCTTTTCTACTCAAGAAGTGTGCGGAAAGTAAGGCACTGTCCATCCTTTTCTACCCAAGAAATATGGAAGTAGTAAAACCCTTTAATATCCTACAATGAGAGGGTTTGCATTTACCCAACCAGGAAAGCCCTGGGGTTGAGCAATCCTGATCCTATAACTACCAGAAATCTTGGACAGTCTAGCGTACCAATGACCACCTTACATCTTAGGTCCAATCTGGCAAAACTATGGACCGAACACATCATCCCATAATATAGTAAAGCTTTCAAACAGAGTACTTTTATGTAACTATCTGGAAAAGTACACTTCAGTGTCACGCCTATAAAAAAAACTTATCTACTAATCTACTTCTTTCTATGAGTGCCGATCAATACACTGGATTAATTCATAATTTCAGTGTCACACACTCCAGTAAAGAAAATACAGCCTTGGTACTGGAGAAAGCTTCCCACAAACAAACAAAACATCCATTTATCTCCAAGATTTACAATTTTAGAGAAAGGCATATATAGTCATTACAATATGATATAACACAAGTGATTTATTATAAAGCAGTGTTTTGTGTGAATCTTCACTCCTGCCTTTAATCTGTGGGAGATGAATATCAGCAAAGATGAATAATTCATGGAGAAGCCACGAGGATGAAGCGAGGGTCAATTCTTTGGTGTCGTAGAGCTACGAACATATTTATTTAAATTTCAGCACAGATTCCTTCCAACCATTCCTCAATAGCCTCAACTGCTTTATGATTTAAATACAGCTTCAACTCAGTTCATATCACATTTGTCTGTCAAATCTGTGAGCACCCGTAATAGTTATTCAGTGCATGAGAACTGAAAATGCAAATTCCCAAGTGACATCAATAATACACACAATGCCTTTGTGAATTTGTGCCTCGACACATGAAACTGTGCCCTGACACGATGCCTCTGCCCACATGCAGAAGGAAGCTTGTGTGAGCAAAGTCTATGTTTATGTTACCCGTGCTGGTCTGGAGCGAAGAATGTACAGATACACAACATGGCTGTCAACAACTGGATCTCTGGCAATGGTGCTCATCATAAGGGTGACTGGCCAGCCTGAAAGAGAGGTGACTGAGATGCCTGTTGTTGTGATACTGGTTGTGCTGGCGCCTGTGAGGCCTGGCTCTGTGAAGGGGGCTGCGGCGTTGTCTGCTGAGGGTTTGGCCCGCTCATGATGGAAGAATTCTGACCTGGTAATACTGTCTGTGAGTTCTGGCATGCTCTTGGTTGCTGTAACTTGTTGAGGGTTTCTGGTTTGGCCTCCGATCTCAGAATTGTATTTTCGTACTCCAGCTGTCCGATCCTCTCCATCATCTCCCCGATCTGTTGTTTGAGGATTTCTACTTCTTCTCGAACTGCATACATCAAGTGTCGCTTTACCAAGTCCTGCAGAAGAAAAGACACGACAAAAATGTAATGACACATTAAATACAAATGTGAGTTGCATATTCTTTACAGGACGTTTAGAACCAAACCCAGCACTTTTTGGCTGTTGTTGTTTTTCTAGGCAAATTCAATGTTCAGTAATTTGCCATTGCTTTCTGAAGGTGAGCTTTTGGTACCACTGTCGAAACCAACACAAGACAAACCTTCCGTAGCTGGGATCAAACCTGGCACCCCGGCATTACGAAGAGCGTTTACAACGCCTAACCCACAGACGCCAACAAATACAAAAGTTAATCCAAATATGTACCGGTGTTGTGGTTGTTTACAGCATGACTTGATATTTGGACCTTTCGGATAAATCTAATCACAGCAAAATGGACTTTTTACCGGAGTCCCAATGAAAAGTGACACTTCAGTTGACATTTTGCCAGATTGTGTAAACAGATGTCAGCCACACACAAAAAAAGGTCACGGCAAACAAAAAGGTATCCAGTGTCAAGTGACATTACCCATACTCACTAGAGGACACAAATACAATGACGTACAACATGATAAATGCAACATCCTAATAAAATGAATTGAGCAAATGTGAGGATAGGTATGAAAACAAAGCACAAAATAAAAGACAACAAAAGAAAATGCAGTACACAACTTGAAAGAAAACTAATCACCAGAGCAGATGTTCACAAATCAGGTTGAAAATTTTAACCTAAGCGGTTTTTGTAAATGAAATCTAACATCAAAATGACAGCTGCAATTCGGATGTGAAAATGTTTCTGTTGGCACATCTGAGGGCTGCCTTATGCATCTACTTTGCTTAATCTAGGGCTCCCAGGGTGAACCAGACCTAAAATGTGTGATAAGAAGTGACCTGGAAAGGAACAATTTAATTACAGCCCCTCTTGAGGACCAAACAGTCCTGAAAAATATGAGTGGCACCATATGCCCATGACTGGCATGAACGAGGCATTAACTTTTTTCCAATAATCGCAGAAGTTCTTCTTTACGAAATATTTGTCAAGAGGAATGTTACACTAAAAGAATGCAACTGAGCCTGCAAGTACATACAAATAAAAAATGTGTGTAAAATGTCCCTAAACTCGACTCACCAACTTTTTGAGAAACAGAGTATCTGTTCCTGATGGTGTCGAAGTGGGTGAACTGAACATTTTGAGAATATGAAAAACAACCTGCGATTGTAGAATTTTCAAACCACTGCACGGCTTGGCCAAACAAAGCACAGATCAATGTTTTTCTAACAACACCTCTTGCAAGCTGCAGAAAATACACTAGTACTACTACTACTACACAGCTGCGTAACTTTTACGTTAGCTGTCTATAATCAGTTGAAGGGAGCCATTATCCGCAAGAATATGAAACGGGTGATGAAACTCAAACGTCCAGTTATGTAATGCTTCCCTCCTAGTCAGACTACATACAGTGTAGCAGACCTGCTTGTTTACATCCACACAAACCGCAGTAATCCAAGCGTAACAGAACTGAGGCTGTTGTAGAGCACTTTCCTTTTTCGTGTATCTGACTCACTGTATAAATGTAACACAACAATGTAACAGGTGTTGTCAGCTCTGCTCTAGTAACCAACCACGGAATATCGTTTGCCAACGGAACAAATTCAGTAACTGGTTCACGTCGGGACGTGTTCAGTACAGGTAAGAGAGATAAAAACAGTAGTACACAGGCACCGCCGCCCTGGGAGGTTCAGGGAGGGACCGGTCACAACCAGACAGATCCGACCTGTGGCAATCTTGCATGTGCTATAAATACACCAGCGACACGGGCAGGGCCGGGGAGACCAGTTACAAGGACACGGACTGGAATGGAGATCGATGCATTTGCTGTGACTCACCAAGAAGGGAGAACATCCTCGCTTCAGAAGCAGAAACACAAGCAGGCGCACAAAGCGACGAGTGGTCGGGTGGAAATTCACTCACCGAATCTCGGTCAGGTCTACCTAGAGGTCTGGGCAACCTAAAGCGCCGCCCGATTTATGAGTCGATATTTTTTTCTTCACAAATGGACAGAGAAAATGCACGCGGTTTCTTCTCCACGAAAGATTTATGCGGTGCAGCCACGCCCGAGTTGACACGTTCTCGTCCAGCTTTTGAACTGGGAAATGTCGTGTAAGCATAAGTACACACACAAGGCAAACACTGCTTGAAAGAATGGTGCCTGCTTGTATACACAGGGCACGCTACCACCGTCTGAGACCCTAAGCATGTACTGGTCATTAGCAGTTAACTCACTTTTCTTTCTATGTAACAAAAAAAAAAAAAAATATCAATATTTGGTAAATTAACTCTTTCTGCCACAGCCACCCATACCTTTACAATGATAATCGTCTTGACAAAACAGATTTGGAATAGTAAATTAACAGAATAGCCTACAGTAATAGATATAATGTGACAGAAGACAGAACGCCTCTCACTCCCCTGTAACTGCAAAGTGGACCGTCAGAATCTAAAACCTAATTTATACAGCACAGCAGTTTCTATAAAGGTAAAAGATCCTTGTCCAAGCCTTCTGGGCATATAGGGCTAGACCTATATTTTAGTCCAATCAGCACCCGGTGGGTGATGCGGTCAACATCACGATAGCCGCCTTTACTTCCTAGGACTATATCCGGTACCCACTCAAGGCCTGGTCGACCTGGAAATGCAGGTCATTTTTATTTTAAAGTCCGGCAACGGCAGGACCCCAACACACGACCTTCCGATCCGCAGGCGAGAATCAGCTGCTTCTATACTTAGCAAAAATAACAGCCAATCTGATCACAAACTGAATCTTGTGATTTCGGGTTGTACAAACCAGCTACAAGGTTAGCACTACGTTATGTGCACTCCGCATGCGCATTTGTTGTGGAAACTCCACTTTTAGCACCAGGTTCTGCTGCACCCGTTTCGCACCGGACGACCTATACATAGTAAACCCGGCAAAGGAAAGTTTATGTGCTACCTACCCCATGTGGCGTCCCTCCCAATGCTCGAGCTTATTTTGCTCAACGGTTAACCCTGTCCTGCGTATATTGAAAACTGGGAGGTAGGATGGGAAAGAGGTAGCAGATGGTAAAACTGAAAAGTACACGGTGCACCGAGAATTGTAAGTTATTAAACTTAAAAAGCTTATATCCCCCTTGGAGACATAATCAGGAGGAGATCGGATCACTTAGGGTCATGTCGCATGTGTGATGAAGATAATATTTGAATGAACAATGCTATCCCCTTGTTTTCTGGGGTAAGCTGGAAAAGTTCCAGGCCTAACTACGGGGACAGGGGCACGACCTTCTTTAAGTATGTATTTACCATGTTCAGAACAAAATATAGGTTAGGAAGCTCGATGAGAAGGAAAGGGGAAAACACGCACAACAATCGAACGTTTCGACCAAGTCTTTAACAACATGCATTACAACAAGATTGACGTGAGAGCTAGAAAGCAACGGCAGCTCCAGATTTTTTACCAAAAAAAAAGTTAGACAATTCTGAGAAGAGATGTCTTAGAAGAATATACTGAATCTCCAGATTTCAGATCCTATACGCAAATAAGACAAGAGACTAAGCAAGACAGTGTATCCAATTTTATCAGAAAGCGATGCTGGAGTTGTATCAGCCATGTACTCCGAATGGATAAGACAAGACTCTCCTATCAAGCTCTCGTATGGAAACTGAAGGGGACAAAGAAAACGGGGAACACCAAGAGAGACCTTGCGTAAAACCGAACCATCATCAGAGAAGGCCTAATGAACATCTAAGATCTGCCAGACTATGACCTCTACTCTATGTGCCGCCTTAGGCTCATGAGGAAAAACCTACTAACTAATAACAAGAAGAAGAAGCCTAGACACCAGAGCCCAAAGGAACAGTCACGTGGATAATTCTAAGTGAATATGAAATATGGGAGTTGGAAAAGATGCTGCGAAACTTAAACAAAGAAATTAAGTAGTAGTAGCAGCAGCAAGAAGTAAAATAGAAGAAGAAATACGAATTTAAAATTTAAAAAAAAAAGAAAGCTCTCATTACATTTCTTTATTACCAACACATTTGTTACTGACCATATGTCTAACCTCGACTATCTCATCTGCATAGAAAAGAGGTCATAAAATAGTATGAGAAGTCCCAGATGGGGAGTTTTAGGATGGTACTAACCTAAATTACTCTGCGTTATTCTACATACATAAATTAGCAAGTCAAACAGCCAGAAAGTCATGTCATCGACCCTTATGACTGACTGGTGGGATGTCAGAGGGAGCCACTAGGACCAATGTGTCCTGCTATTGTGTCAGGCTGTAAAGTCCACACAACTCGCGCACACCTGCTTGCATAAAGTGCCGTAAGCAGGCGCCGCTGAGTTGGTGCAAAGTGTGCGTCACCAGAGAGAAGCGCTTTCCCTTTACGTGGGCGTCGTACGCTTTACACCGAGGGCAGCAGGGTACGTCAAGTGAGTACTCTGTGTTGCTCTAGGGTCCACAGTTATACACATACTTTACTGCTAAAATACAACTGCTGCAGTGAAATACGGGTGTTTGGAAGGACCAAATGTAAGACGGGCCTGCGTGCCTAATTTGTGACCCTTTGAAAATGACGTTCGTTGGTTCATTTGTTCGTTATAACTATGTTAGTAGACTGAGCTTTGTATCTAAAATTTGCTTCTGCTGGACTGACACCAGGGGTCACAGAGGTCTTGAGTCGCGAGGCAGCAGTCAGAGAGAGAGAGAGAGAGAGAGAGAGAGAGAGAGAGAGAGAGACAGAGAGAGAGAGAGAGAGAGAGAGAGTCGTGTTATCTCCCAGCAGATAAAAGGGTTTGCCCACATAAAGCGAATACCACACGACGCCATTCAAGGCATTCATCAACAACAAGAGGAGAGCTGCGTAGAGCACGACCAAGACCCGAATACCAAGAACAATATATCAAGAGCGAAACAGTACGTGTCTAAGGTCAAGGCGACCTCATATCTCTCGCGATACCGGAAGCAGTAAAGGTTTTTA